CACTGCCAGGACTGTCTTCTCCATGTGCCTGGAGAAGACTCGGGGTGCCTGTTCGATGAGGACAAGGCCAGAGCAGACCCTCCACACGCCCCTCTTGGCTTCATAAATGATTAACTGAACTGACCCTGGCACTAACTGCACGTGGGCCCAGCCTTGGCCGAGCTTCCCTCTGGCCAGGTGCGAGTTTCGGTCCACCCTCAGCCAGAACATTCCCTGATCTCCCATCCTGTCAGCTCCCCTTTCACCCCACCTCCCCACACCCAGTTCTCTCTAGCGCCCTTTCCTGCTCTAGAAAAGAAACCCTTTCCACCTCTGGAGACAGTGGGTGATCTTCGATGCAGGACATTCTGCCCCTTCTGTTGTTCCCCTTCTCCTCGGCAATAGCCTCCCCCACCCGCTTCTGTCCCGCGATGACCCTTTCTGATTCGTTTCTTCTAGGACACTCTCATCTGGACAGGTTCCACATGGGAGCGCCCAGCCCGCAGAGATCATCTGGGGTGTCCCCAAAGGCTGGGCAGGTGTTGGGAAGCCCTGCCCTCAGGCCTCTGAGCAGGAGAGACGTGCCCCCTGGAGGGTTGCTGGTAGCGCCTTCTGCACGGCCCCTCTCCGCCAGGAGATAGTTTCTGCTCTCAGAGTCAAGGATTCCCTTTCTGCTTCTTGGGCAAACATTGGATTTTCTTTTCTTTTTTTTCCCGACGCACACTCGCCATTTTATAATTAACCATACATAGCTTAGGGTCTCCTGAGACTAGTTGTAGATGGAAAATTACAGTAACATTTGTCTGGCTGCACGTTTTGTACAAAACGGAAAGTTTTGAATCAAAAGATAGTTTGGGGGAAGCCAGAGTTTTGCTGATTTTATTAACGTTGTGATGAAATCGGTTCACTCTATGCTCAAATTATGTAATATTCTGTAATTTGTGAATTTTCTAAAGTAATTTTAAAGAAGCTGTGTTTTAAGGTTGCTGGGGAAACCAGACAACACAGCCCATATCCATTTACTGCTTCTCGTGGTGTGCTGTTGAACGCTGCTGTGCAAGGCGCAGGTGGTGACAGGGATACCGCAGAGAAACACTGGTCCCGCCACACACACACACACAAAGGGGCACTCTTTTGCATAAGCAAGACGGATATTAAATAATGAACATTTTAAAAATTGCAAATTTGTAAAGTGCTGCTATGGAGATCTAACCCTTCAAGGAGCAAGGGTTTGCGTGGGGTAAAGTTGGATGGAAATGAGTAGGGTCTCCAATAACTCAGGGGAAATTTAGGAAGTTGATCTAAGAAACAACCAAGACTGGTGGGTTGATAAGGGAGCGACTGAGAGATCAGCACTTGGGGCCCAAGGACTCTTTGCCTGTAGGTACAAGCCTATGAGCAACCAGCACAGACTTGTCCACAACTGAGGCACTCAATATTGTGACCCCAAGTCCATGATGCTTCATCAACACATGACAGGAGATACCCCCCAATCAAAAAAATTGGCCAAAGGGGTTGATGATTAGCAATTTAAGAACCAGGAGCAAGACATGGTGGATTTACATTGGAAAATCATTTTTTAGAATGACCTGCCTGAATGTCCTGGTGTTTCTACCCAGATTTTCTAATGACTCAAAGATGAGCTGAAGCAACACTTTTATGAGAAGGAATGGCGACTGGAAATTTAAAATGAATCTAAAAACAAAACAGTAAAGCCATGCTTGTACTAAAAGTAAAAATCACTCAGCTTGTACACGCTACCTTCTCAGCAAGTGGCCAGTGTACATTTATGGAAGTCAGCATGCTAACCAGGGCTCTCATGGACAAGAAACAGCTGGGGTCTCTAGAGTTGGCTACCAGGGCCAGGAGAGCATCAGTAACCAAGTAAACACACAAGAGAACAAGGTAAGTTCAGGGAGTGTCAAATGGTGAGGCTTTGGGAACGATCCTATAAACGTGTGACATCCTCCCCTCTCTGTAGCATCCTCAAAGATAACCCCTTGGAATGAAGGGGGCTTTGGTGCACGTGGTTTTTTAGTGGGCAGTAAAAAGACAAGGTTTAGAGGAGTAAATATCTTCCTTAAATTATCTGAAAATCAACTCATATACATACCATCAAAATAGAAAAGATCCTGTTGCACAAGAAATTCCTAAGTTCCCCATCTACTCCTCCATTTTTAGACCCTTCTATGTAAAATGTGGACTTTATGCACATTAATGCAAACATAGAAATATGTTTTGGGGAACAAAAATAAGACTGCAACTTGCACACTCTTCTGTAGCTTTCCTTTCCTATCTAGGCGTAATTTATTTCCAGATTAGTTCCTGCAGATATGTATTGCATTGCATCTGTGCAAATACCACAAACTTTTTCCTCTCTTGGCATATAAATTGTTTTCAATTGTCTGACATCCAAATAATGCAAAATTAATGTTCTTACACTTTGTTACATGATGTATATTGTGCTATTTTATCTATGGAACAAATTCTTGAAACTGAGATGACTGATTCCATTATGAAATGTAAAGACCTAAAATACCAGCAGATGTGGCGAAATTACACCCTTAAAAGTTTGTAATAAACTTCACCTAACAGTTTCGCTGAGCACTTGGGTTCAACACCTCTCCCTTCACTTGTTAACATCATTAATAATTTCACTAAATAATTAATAATCTTATTACAGGAAACACAAACACACATACACTTAAATATTATTAAATTTGTTCCCTGTTTATTAGATAGATTTAGATTATTTTACCAGACTTTTTTTTTTAATCAGTTATATTTCTTCAGTAAATTGTTTATTGTCTGCCCATTTTTCTATTGGGTTACCACTTCTTAGTGATTATTAAAAACTCTTTATATAGAGTAGTTTTAGTGCCTTGTTTGCTCAATCTTGCATATATTTTCCTCCAGTCTTGCCTTTTTTTTTATATAGGTAAAAATATTAATCTATTCATTTGTATGTTTCTCAAACTGTGGTTGGTGGAATGGGCATAAGGAATCATGTGGGGTGCTAGCTAAAAATGGGGATCCTGGCACCCACAGGCTATATGAGAATTTCTGGGAAAGAACACAAGATTTTGCACCTAAAACAGATCTACAGGGGCTATAATCATCGCCTCAGTCTCCTTTCTATGTCTTATGTTTGTAAATAAAAACGTTTTGAATACGTTTACGTTTCAATGCACCTTACATTTGTGTTTGTTCCTGTAATGACTCAAAGACCTGCTAACTGTACTTTATTTTTAATGTTTGTCTTTTCATTGTGCCAGCAGCATTTAGGAACAAACCAGTGTTTCCCCACTACATCAGAGCATGATCCTTATATATTAGATTGTGGAGCTGCTCACATTCCTGTACTTCTTAAAACAGACACACCTTTATTCCTCTTTGTGGAGTATCGCATGAACAATGTGTGCACGCAGAAGATACAGTCTTTTCCGTTGACTCATCCCTTCTGCCTTCAGCAAGGTGCAGGGCTTTCACCGCGCGCTGGTGACCCATCGTCCCAAGGAAGCTATAGTTTCTGTCGCCACAGTGGAGAAAAGGGCTTATTACTTCACTTTTCAGAGGATACTGCTTGTTCCAAAGGGGCGTGTCTAGTTCTTGTTCTACATTTCTCCTGAGTTACGCCTTTGGGGGAATGCGCTGTTAATTAGGCTTCAGGTGTTATAGGACAGGGAGAGGGGCAGCCCAAGCCCCGCAAACCTGCCTATTCTAAATGGGTTCTGCCATCCGCCGCATCAACACAAAACATAGGAGACTTTAATGAAAAGGAACTTTAATAAAACTAGGAAACAATACAGGTAAGGCAAAGAGTCTAGTTTCTAAATGAAGCACCCAAAGTTACCTGTCCCCTCGTGGGTAAAAGTCCATCCAAATGGGATTGGCCCAGAACAAGGCCCCAAAGCCTGCCACAAGTCTAAAGCATCTTCCAGTGGGGACCCACAGCAAAGGGTCACAAACAACCAGACAAGCCCGGAAGGAAAAGAGCAAAATCAACATCAAGATAAAAGCTGCCATTGTCACCTCCCCACGGGTCTCACCCACATCTGTGTCACCTAGTCCACGACCAAAAGACAAGTGCAGTTTCTTCACGTGTCTCTAGGCTCCATGCGCCTCTTTCAGGTCTCCTGGCTCCATCCTGCTTCCTTCCTTCCTCAGTCTCTTCCTGCAGCTTCTTCTCTTGCTGCTCAGCTCCACCCTCCCTTGGGTGGGGCAGGGAACCTCCCCCTTTCCTGGGGACCACCCTGTTGCAATGGCACTGGGCTTTCAGGGCTTCCCCTCAGGTACGAACAGACGGGCCTCTTTGGGGGGCTCTGACAAAGGCACTACGGCGCCCCCCAGGAACACAGCCTCCCAGGCCGGGTTCAGTGGGGTCGCCAGGGTCCGTGAGAGGGCCGGGACCCCGCCAGCCCGCGACCTTCACCTGGGGACCCCAGCGTCCCCAGAGCGACAGGACGACCCGCGTGGGGGGCCCAGCGCGCCCCAAGCCCCGTGCGGCCCGCCCGTGCACCCCAGGCCACCGCCTGGGGGGCCGCGGACAAAGCCAGAGCCTACACCCCAGGCCCCCGTCTAGGCCAGATTCCCCCGCCCTCCCGCGCGCTCTTCCGGTGCGGGCATTTTACGCGACGGCTACGCGCGCCTCAGCGCCGCGACGAGCTACAGGCGCGGCCGCGCCGGCTCCCACGTGTCGGGCTGGCGGAAGGAGCCGAGCGCGCTCGGCGGCTCCCGGCGGCGCTCGGCGGCGCTCGCCACGCCTTCGGCCGCCGTCGGCAGGGGGCGGGGCGCGCACGCCGGCGCGTTCCGCGCGAGGCATTGTGGGAGGGGCGGCCGGTGCAGCCGCGGCTGCCATCTTAGCAACTCCTGGCGTGGCGGCCTGGTCGCCGGCGGCGGCCTGCGCCTCGGGGAGCGGCGGAAAGGCGGCGGGCGGGGAGCGGGCCTCCTCTCGGCCTCCGCGGGGCAGCGGCCGGGGCGGGCGCCGGCGAGGGCGGGCGCGCGCGCGCGGGCCGACGCCCGCGGCCTGGGCGGCGGCGGCAGGATGGGCCGGTCGCGGAGCCGGAGCTCGTCGCGCTCCAAGCACGCCAAGAGCAGCAAGCACAACAAGAAGCGCAGCCGCTCCCGCTCGCGCTCGCGGGACAAGGAGCGCGTGCGCAAGCGCTCCAAGTCCCGGGAAAGCAAGCGCAACCGGCGGCGGGAGTCGCGGTCCCGCTCGCGCTCCACCAACGCGGCCGTGTCCCGGCGCGAGCGCGAGCGCGAGCGCGCGTCGTCCCCGCCCGACCGCATCGACATCTTCGGGCGCACGGTGAGCAAGCGCAGCAGCCTGGACGAGAAGCAGAAGCGCGAGGAGGAGGAGAAGAAGGCCGAGTTCGAGCGGCAGCGCAAAATGTGAGCGGGCCGGGCCGGGCCGGGCCGCGGGGGGCGCGGGGCCGGCTCCCCTCAGCCGCGCGAGCGCCGGGCCGGGCCGCGGGGGGCGGGCGGCGGCCGCGCGGGCCTGAGGAGACGCGTTTTGGCGCGCGGCGCGCCCGGAAGTGCCGGCGGCGGCGCGGCCCGGACGGCGGGAGCCCGCGACGCGGGGTGCGGGGTGCAGGCGGCGGGGCCCGGGCCGGGGCGCGCCCGCCCGAGGGGCGGCCCGGGGGCTGCGGCTCGCGCCTGCCCCGAACTTGCGTACGTCGAAGCTGCGGTTTGGGCCGGGCTCCCCTCCCCGCGGGAGCGCGGGCCTTCGGGGTCCCCCGGGGCCCCCCCACGTGCGGTGCCCTTCGGCGCGACCCCGGGGTCGAGGACGGGGTCTGGGTTGTGAGGTCTCGAGGCAGCAGCCGGGGTCGTGGTCCTCGGCCTCGCCCGCCCGCGGCAGCCCCGGCGCCCGGCCCGGGCTCCGCTCGCCTGTGGCTCCGCCGGCGCCCCGGAGGCCGCTCCCGCGAAGCGCTGTCCGGGCGGCGAGGGTCCCTGGAGTCGCGCTCCGCGTCCCGGTCTCGGCGCGATGCGGGCTTTTGTCTCGGTTCAGACCCGGCGCTCGGGCCGGGCCGTGGATTCCCCACACCACGTGGACGGGCGGGACCGGCCGCGCTTTCTCTCCAGCCGCCGCCGTCAGTCCTCACGCGTGTTGGGAAGGGCTCGGGAGGCAGGAAAGTTAAACCATTCAGAATAATCCTGACAAGGAGTCACACGTGATGAGCTGAGTCGTCTGGGGGCTGGGAACCTCTCCGCAGCTGGGCTGGCGCGGTGCACCCGGAGGCGACACTCCGGGAAATACGGTGTCACTGTCACCCGGGGGCTCAGGGAGCCCCTGAAGGGCGGTTGTACTTGCAGAGTTGAGGATTTGAGAAGCTTTCGCTTCAGAGCGAGAAGCTTCTGCTGTAGAACGCACAACAACGAACATCAAGTGACTACGTGGTTGCCACCACCTTGTCATGCATTGGAAGGACCTGCTTACGTAAACCCAGAATAAATAAGAAAGGCAGGATTCGAGATTTTCCAGCAGTTTCCAAAAGCAAAGTGACTGAGAGGTCAGAGCCCTAACTATAAAAACATTCAGCGAAGGCAGGACCTGCAGAGGAAACGTAAATGCCTCTTTCATGTTTTCCTTCCGCGGTGATGTGTCTGAAAGCCAAACCAAGTGATTGTGTCCCAGCAAACCCGGCTTATATAGAAACCAGTTTTTTGGTTTGGAACAGAATCTTTGACTATAGAGATTAGCCCTTAAATAACTGGCAACAGAGGAACAATTTACAAATTATCAAACATCTCTGAGATAATTGAGTCATGATTGGATGCTCACTGGAAAATGAAGACGTGTAGAAGAAAAGGGACCTTGGTGTGCAAGGAACAACTAGAAACACTTAGTAAACTGCACATGCTGGGAGCAGCCCTGTGAGGCGAGGCGAGGAAGTAGAGCAGCCCAGGAGAACACACCACCCAGAGCATTGAAGAAGGGAGGAGGGGGCAGAGCAGTTCACACTGGTCTGTGCATGTCGTGGGCAGTGCTTCCTGCGGCCTAGGGTCGGGGGGAATCACGTGCAGGGAACTATGCAAAGACCTGGGCTTTAGAATCGGGTAGGAGCAGAAGCAGTTGTCTGCACATCCTTCCAGTTAGGTCCTTCAGCTGACGTTCGCTGAGCGTCTGCTCCGGCCAGGCGCCGTGCCGGTCATACAGAGATGGTGGGTCCCTCGCCAAGATGTTGCTCTAACTTGAACGCAGGTCATAATTCAGCGTAGTAAATGAGGTCGTGGAGACGTGGCCATGGAAAGGGAGCATCCTTGGTGGGTACAGGGGTTGAGGAGAATGGTCTGGAAGTGGAGCAATAGGTGAATGTTACTGAAACAGGAAGTCGCAGCTGAGCTGAAGTCGCGGAGAGACAGGCGAGGTGAACAGATGGGAATCAAGGGGAAGGGAACTTGAGTTTCATCTGGGAAACGGGGAAGGCAGGTGAGGTGGGACTTTGTTTTCTAACAGCACTGACTGCTGGGTAAGGTAGAAGCCGAAGAGGCAGGTACAGTTCAGTCTGCACAGGTACATGCACAGGCAGCTGTTGTGTGGGAAAGTGGGGCAGGTCTGAGAAACTCTCAGGGCAAATGCACTGGCACTGGAGCCTGAGGGAGAGAAGCGGTGCTGCCTGCTCTCCCTGTCAGCACTGGTGAAGGTGTCACGAGCTTGGTGATCAGAGCAGAGGAAGGGTCGGAGGGAGTGACCACTCGTCACTTGCACTCTGGCCAGAGTTGATCCGAGGTTGCTGCAGGATGGAGCCCCCGAGGAAGCCTCAAGAGTAGACAGATGCGAGGAGGGTGCGGAGGGGGAGGAGCAGTTGCTTCTGGAGTTGACAGAACCTCAGGGAGCCACTCTGCAGTTGGAGGAGGAGGACGGGGTCACGTGCGCCTGCAAGCAGCGTCCAGTGTGAGACGGCGGGAGGAGGCAAGTCACGCTCTCCTGTGGGGCTCGTGCACTAGTGACAACGTCTGGCAAAACTGGAAAAGAGATTGCGTGGCCACTTGGGTTCTGAGAGACCGTGAATAAAGCACCTCGGGTTTCCTTGTCTGTGACGTGGACACAGAAGTGCACACTCGGGGCGGCCAGCCGGCGCTGGGGTAAGGCGGACCCCGGTGGACAGCGTCTCATTCCCTCGAGAGCCCAGGCCACGCCTGTGGGCAGCACCCCCGGGCAGCGGGAGGTGGACCTTAAATTTTTCCCCTCCTTTTGGAGCAGCTGAACCACTTGGTTCAAATTCAGTTCAGAAGGACGTTTCGCGTGTTCCCCGTCTTCCCCTCCGCGCTTTTGCTCCTCCGGGGAGGGTCTCGGGCCGGGCGGGCGGCGGGAAGTGACTTGCGGGACTTGAGGAAACTGTCACAGGCGCAGGGACGGGTGTGGCCCGCGGGCAGCTGGGAGCACCATGGCGTGAGGGTTGGGAGCCCTCGCTCGGCTCTGTGCCCAGCGGGCCTCTGAGTGGCCGAGAGAGACAGGGACCCTCGCCGGGCTCGCTGGGCGCGCGGAACGGTTCCTGTGAACGAACCCCTAGTGTGGAACTACGCTCTGGGGGGGCTCGGGCCTGAGACAGGCGGTAGAGCTTCACATCTAGCTGATGGTGAGGAGAATTTTTTAAATTTTTGAAATAATTCCTCGGGCAGTGAGGTCTGTGAGCGCGCCCGCCCCTGCCGCTTGCTCGCGTCTGGGGGAACAGTCGGGGAGTCCAGGGCTTGGGGGCCCCCACCGTGGTGGGGTGGTGGGGCGGAGCCCAGCTGGCACCAGACTCCGTCTCGGGTGGGGGTGGCAGTCCCCGTGGGCAGAGCCTGCCCGTCCTCAGGACGCGGCCCGTGTGGGCTCGCGCGGTTCCTGGACGTGAGTCGGAGGGCGAGTGGGGTGTGCTCCAGACGCTGTTCACGCGCCCCGGGGCCCTGCGCTGGCGTCTTCCTGGACAGGGCTGTGTGGCTGAGCCCGCGCTGCTTGCTTTAAACTCTGTCGCGCTCAGTGTTTACATGAAATACCTGAGCGTGGAGCAGAGGGGCCCCTAAATAGTACACCGTTCTCGCTGGAAAACTGGGAGGTTTCCAGTCAGCGGTGGCACCGACTTGGCGAGGGAACAGATGGAGCCCAGGAGCCCGAGGGAAAAAGATGGACAGAGAAGAGACTCGGCAGAGGGCCCTCCCCGAGCAGCGGGCGGGGCGGTGGTGCTGGTGCTGGTGCTGGCTGCACTTTCCTAGGAAAGGAATGTCCAAAAGCTCTGGACGCTTTTTTCCCCAGAAAGTTTCTGTGTCTTTTAATGAGCCTGATCGCTCCTTTATCGGCTGTCAGGGATGATCATCAGCGTCGTTAATAGAGACGAACTTGTGCTCGGTAATTCGGTGGTGCGTGTGTCCACTGAGCTTTCTGAATTCGCGCGGGGGGGGGGGGCTAAAGGAATATTGAGTTTAAACACTGGATCTAAACATTGATTTGCAATTCTCCCTCCTCACCAAAGAAGCAGGTCAGCCTTACAGGAACGGGGCAAATACAGAGACCTCAGTAGTGCTTGCGGGGCGGCCCCTCTGCCCTGGCTCCTGACCTTGCCGGCCTCCTGGGAGGACCCCGCTGCGGCGCCTGACTGCAGTGTGGTGGCACGGCCTGCGGTTCCTCCAGGAGCCAAGGAAGACGCCGCCTGTGAGAAACTCCGCCAGGCCGGTTCTCATCCCCCCCAGTTCACTGGCTCTTGGGACTTTCCACTCACCCACCCCTTCGGGCTAGAAAGCCCCTGAGCTGTATTAGAACTGACTCCTGGGCCAACACCAGACCTGCCGCCCTGTCTGCCTGTCCCCCAGCCCTCCGGGCGGGTGCTGGGCGGTGGGAGCAGAGACCCAGCGTGCTGACTCCGCTCCTCTGTCTTTCCCTGTAAGTAAGAGCTGCGTGGGGTCAGGCTCCCTTTCTCCCGCCCAGACCCCAGACCCCGGGGCCCTCGCCTCTGTGCGCCCCGCCTGGGCGCACAGCACTCTGGGGGCGAGTCTCCCACCTGCCCCGCATGCCAGAGCGAATTTGACAGCTTTTCTGATAAGCTAACGTGCAGTCTTACCTCATTCTTCTCCCTGTTTTTCACTCCGTATGGAAAATTTCAATTGGAACTATTTTACATTGTCCTTCATTTACGATGTGTGCCGTTTTTGAAATGGCAAGGGAAAAGCGGCTGCTGAGGCTCGTCTGTGTTTACTCATTTCCTCTAAGAACCACTCAGCAGTGCTTGTGTGTGTCCATCTGGATACTTTTGAAACTTTCTATTATGGAAACTTTCTAAATTGGGCAAAAATGGAATATATCATCCTACTGTACCCTTCGTCCAGATTCAGCGGTGGCCACGCCTCGTTTCATCTCTTGCTTCCTTTCTCTTTGGATGAAGTAGAGAAGCATGATGTTTATATTTGGAATGGGATTGATTTATTTTTCTCTTCAAACCACTGCCTGATTTCCTTTATTTTTGTGCTTGATTCTTTCTTTTGGGAGGTTATCTGTTCCTTTTTATTGAGTTACCATCGGTGACGGGTTGTTGAAACTCATGGAGCACTCGCTTTTGTTGGAAGTTTAAAAGGGAGAAGGGCATCATATCATGAGTGTGTGTAGGCTTTTGTTTTGGTTCTTTTTTTAAAAAAAAAATCAGTAATTGGGTGTTGGGGAGGAGGTATTTAAGAAATGGGCCCCGCAGAGTCTGCAGAATGAGCATCGCAAATATGTAGAACCTGCGAGAAATGACGCTCTTTCAGGGAGCTGACACTTCTTCACAGGACACGGTAGAGGTTGGAAATGAAGACACCGAAATGAATCTGAATGTTCGAGAGAGGTGGGATAGAGACACAAGTGGGAACTGATTGACCCTCCCGGAATAGAGTCGCGTTGAAGTAGATTGGCATATTTCAAGATCATGTAGAAAATAGGAGGTCTTTGCTAGTAAATTGTAGATATAATTTATAGTATATTGTAGTAATAACAACTTGCAGATAAATCAGTGCTGTCTCATACACTTGTATGCTAAATGAGTCATCAAAAGATATAAAGGTAACCGTTTTTTATAATTCTGTGAGTTGTGAGATGGGTGAAGCATTAATAAGTTGGCTGTTTTGCATTTAAATATACAGCGGGAAGCTCTGAGGATTCATCTGTTCACCACAAATGGTTGTCTTAGTGCCGTTGTTAAATGGAAATGTAACTTGAACCATGTATGTGATGAAAAATATTCTAGTGGCCATATTTGAAAGAAATCAGTGATTAATTGTGGTAGATCACCACTGCCTCAACGTACATCATTTGAACGTACAGTCAGGAATATATTTGATGGCCTTCATACTTTCTCGTAGTCCTCATCTTAGATTTAGCTCAGACACGTGAGCTGTGGCCACCGATGGCTGTCATGGTCTGCTGTGGGCCGTTTCCACTGCAGTGTCATGCGTATGTCGGTATTTTCAGTGCAGGATTCCGTTTCAAGCAAACAAGTCGGTTTGTAATATCTAAGTGGGATTAAAATTAAGTGTGATACTTCATTGAGCTGTTAGATAGAACTGAAAATAAACATTTTGTCCACTTTTCCATCTCTAAAAGAGTTTTCAGTTGAAAATCACGTAACAGAAGGTATGGTAGACGACATCCAGTTCAGAATCTGAATGAAATCTGTGTCTGGCGTCTCCGCAGTCTGATCGCTTTGCTTGTGTATTTATTCTGGCTTTGTTGGGGGAGCGGGTGGATTTCACTGGCTGGAATTGCTTGCTGACTTGAGCCGCTCAACCACTAGCCTGAGTGGGCTGATGAGCGGAGCAGATCATGTATGTAGCAGCTTGTCCTTTATTATCAAGTTGGTAACATAAGTAGGCCTGTTTCAGATTTATTAATAGTTCTTACGTAAAAGCTAATGAATTAGTAAGCTCTCTTCATATAGTCTTTTGGTTTTTAGAAAACAGGAAAAAGTTTTATGTTGAATTGCTGTATGACTTGACATCTAGTATCTGTCATTTTCTTGAATGTTACCTGAAAACCAAAGGTAAATTCACGGAATTATATAATCAGGCTCAGTGTTATATAGACTTAGAAATTACTTTTGTTTTAGTTGCTATTCTCTTATATCATCTAAGTCATTTTTTCCCATTTTGTTTACTAGTCGGCAGCAGGAAATAGAAGAAAAACTCATCGAGGAAGAAACCGCCCGAAGAGTGGAAGAGTTGGTGGCGAAAAGGGTAGAGGAAGAATTGGAGAAGAGGAAGGATGAAATTGAACGAGAAGTTCTCCGAAGGGTGGAAGAAGCCAAGCGCATCATGGAAAAGCAGTTGCTCGAAGAACTCGAGCGACAGAGACAAGCTGAGCTAGCAGCACAAAAAGCCAGAGAGGTAACGCTCGGTCGTTTGGAAAGTAGAGACAGTCCATGGCAAAACTTTCAGTGTCGGGTGTGCCTCTGCTCAGTTCAGAAAGAGATGGAATACAGACCAATTCCTTTCTCATCTAAACCTGCCATTGCTGCGAAAGTTAATTCTTAGCCTATTCACAAGTGCTGACTGATATTTAAAAGTTATTTCCATAAAACATATTCAAGGATACCTTTTGATTTAATGGAACTGGCTTACATATTTGAAAGTGTTTGAAACTTTTGCCATGGCTGCAGGACTTACATTCTTTCTCGGGAGGGTGGGGGAGTCAGGGAGTGGTGAAGGGCAAAGGTTACAAATCCACCTGTGGTTATGTATTCTTTTCTGTGTCACTCTCGTTACCTAGACTGTGAGAGGCTTTTTGCCTTCAGTCAGAGTAAAAAGAGCAGGGCCTAACGTTGAGTGACAGCGCCTGCTTTTGATAAATAGGTTTTCTTGCTCTTCTTTTTTTCCTCCTCTTATCTTTCACCCCTTACCCCAAATCCTGCTTCAACACAATGGACTAATTCTAGCATTCTGATCATGAGGCCCTCCATTTTCCTAATGTGTTTCAAAGAATCTTTTTAGGAAAAATGTCCAGATTATTCATCCACTTTTTTAGTATCTACTAACAACTCCTTTTTTTCTCTAGAGAGTTATGAAGGAACAGGTTGTCCTTGTCTGGAGTCAAGCTAAACACATGATTTGTTTTATCAGCAGCTGGAGCAGAAGTTGAAAATGTCTTTCTATGAGACAGTAATTTGCTACTGAAGCTTTCTGGCTTGTTTGCACTGATTACTCCAGGGCCCTAAACTTGGCTGAACATCCCTGATGTGCTCGGGGCGCGTCACATTACAGCAATGGGTGCTCTCAGCAGTCTGCGCCGTGGGCGCGGGGTCTGCGGGTGTCTGCCCTAGCAAACCCTGTGGCTGTATTTCCTTGAACTTGAATACTTGGCTCAAAATATATGACTCATTGTCATTTTTAACCTTGGCATTACTGTGGACAAGTTGGCCATCTTACTGAATTCTTTGCTTTCCAGTGAGCTTAGCTGTTCAAATGTATTTTCCTTTGTACTGTCTTTAACTAGATATACAAGTCTATATTTAGTGGCTATCGCAGATTATACAATTGAATGAATAAAATTTTTACTTATATCAGTGCTTTTAATATAAATGAAGATATTTTTGGAGTAATGGTGCTGTCTTGTAGCGAGTTATTAATCATAGGAAGATTTTTTTCTCTTCATTTGCTTTTTGTTTCATATTAACAGTTTTTTTTTTTACACGGACACAACCCTCTGACAGTCTTTCCAAATATTAAAATCATTTGAATATGTATGCTGTGATCTGAACACTGCCCAAACCATCAAGCAGTCTTCATATAGTTTGCATTATAAATTCTCATTAAATTCTCCAAGAGAAAATAAATTACAGCATTTTATTTCCTGTCCATGCACCCCCTGGATTCCTGAATTTCAGTTCAGACTGTAGATGACAAGATAAGCTGCCTTTAGAAATTGTCAACATCTGAATGTTAAGTCCATTTTCCCCATGGAAGAAGCCCTTAGCTCCATGAAGTATGGATTACCATTTGTATTTTTCACTAACAGTAAATGTATTTTTCTTATTAATTGTTTGCCTTAGGAATGATGAATTACATTTTTTGTTCCTTCTTACCATAAACATCTGCATTCCTCAGCTCAGCCTTCCTTGTATGTTGTTTCTTTATAAATGGTTGAGCTGCTGATGCAGGTATTGCCAAGCTAACAGTACAAATCATTTTAAAGAGGAAGCTGGCGCGTATGGCAGCCGAGGAGCACACTCTGCAGGACACTGGACAAGACAGTAAATATTCAACTTTTAATGCTGATTAAAGGAGTATAGGTAAAGAATACGTAGGTATACATGATTGGTGAGACAAATATTCACTTTATTTATATTTTATATATTATTTTTTTAATTTGGTAAATACTATCCAGTTTTGTAGTTGTCCTTGTTGATTTGTGTGATATTAAAGTATTAGTAATAATTGCCAGGAGACTATCATTAGGGAGGGTTTAGTCGGTTGCTATTTGGACTGGGCGGGATGATGTAAATTTAGTGCTAGAGACGAATTGTAGTGGCTGCACAGTTTTATCATTTGTCAGAGAGAAGGTAGCCATACAGCTACCCTGTCAGTCAGATCAAAACAGTTCAGAGAAAGCTTAGTAAATATTGATCAATAAAAATAAACATTTTATTTTTCTGACATGTTAACATGTCCTCCCCTTTAGGAGGAAGAACGTGCAAAACGCGAGGAGCTAGAGCGGATACTCGAAGAGAATAACCGGAAAATCGCGGAGGCACAAGCCAAACTGGTATGTAGGAGGCTTACCTGGGACTCAGTTCACATTTGCTCTGCTGCTTTCAGATTTTACGGAACAGTTATATGCTAGTTTTTAGAGTTCTTCTGACTGCTTTCAGGGATTTGAGGCCACAAGAGTGTGAGAGAGAGAGAGAGAGAGAGAGAGAGAGAGAGAGAGAGTGTGTGTACACACATATATGGACAATTTAGAATTTTAGTCTGGAGAAGATTCCAAAATGTGCAGTGTGGTTTCTTTTCCCCGAAATGTTTCCTGGAGGAAATCCTACTGTCCCCTTTCTTCTCTCATAACCTCATTCACATGTCTGTGCCTGAAGTGCAGCAGCAGAAGCTTAGAGGCGGTCAGCCAGCTGTTGGATAGCGTTTCACTTCATTAGTTTACTCTACAGAATAAGAAGGTACCATGTATTTGATAGTAGTGTGCCAAATTAGTAAATTCTGAAAAGAACTGGATCTTAAGTAATTCTAACATAAAAAAGAAATGTAAAAGGTGATGAACAATTTTAATAAAGCCAAAATAAGAGCATTGAGATCATTTTTTTACATAGAAAATTAATCCATATTGCTTTGATTTTTCCTTCAAGTTCTTTTTTTAGTAGGTAAATGTTGTTTTGGCACATACTCGCATTTAAGGTGAAATAAAACTTTGGTGTCTTTAGAGTTTTTCCATCTAAACGAGTATGTTTTGAATCATTCTAAGTTCTAGGGTTAAAGGACTGTACAAAAATAACTAATCCCAAAAGACAAAACACTAAAACGGGATAGTCAGACATAATAAGTGAACTTTTTTTGTGATGGTGCCATATCTGAAGATCACTTATAATAAGCAAATAACTCAGAGGTGGAAGAAACTTCACTTTGGGTGAATAGGGGTTCAGTGCCCAGTATGAAGACATGACTCTGGAGGCTCTCTTTGTTCTAGACATGGAGAAAACTTTGAGTTAGTTAAAGATGTGTTGGAAATAATATCCATGGGATGACAACTATTGTTAAGTCATACTTTGGGGAATTAAAGCAGGTTGTAAGCCCCAGCTAAGGAAAAAACTTCTGTGATTGAGTTTATAAAAGCACAGAAAAGGGGATTATGTGGATTCCTCTGAGAGTAGGGGTGAAGGACAATCATAAATGTGTCCTATGCTAGAGAATTGTCTTTTTTAAGTGATTGTGGCACAGGTAGGAGCCAGTGCTGGAATTCTCTGCAGCAGCTTAGCAAGTGAGACTCCATGGGTTCTAGAGATTGGTGGTGTTCATGGTTACTATGAAAGGTACACTGCAAGAGAGATTTAATCCTGTTTCCCTGATAAAAAAGAATCTGCTTAGGTAGAAAAAAATATAAATGTAAAGTGGATGAGAAGTCACTGTAAGAGTATCCATACTGTGTGCTCATTAGTAAGTGTGGTGATGCTTTTTTAGTGAGGCCCTGTGAGGAAATTTCAGTGCAGGTAGGAGAAAGTCAGTGGAAGGTGTGACTCTACAGGTTGGGTTTCAGGTGGTAAAGTCTGGTTTGTAAGGCATGGATGTTTCCAGAAGAGTTAAGACATTGAATTGGAACTTAAGACACTGAAGCAAAATCACCAAACGGGTGGGATGGAATTCTTAGGTTCATGGGTAAGAGATTTCTCAGTGTAATAGTTGAGCTTGGGGGTGGCCTAGAGGACCAGCTACAGCAAAGATCCTCAAATTGGTGTTCCTGCCAAGATCTTGCTCCGTTCTGACCTTGGGGTGGCTGACTAGGTGCCTGGAGACAGCTCAGCCTTTTTTGTTTACCTGTATGCACCTTAAAAATACAGCTTGGTGTGTCATTGCTGGGACACGGTTAATTAGCAGGCATTTCTAGAGCAGCATTTCTCTGGTGGTGGTGAGTGACCAGATTTTGTTTTTGTCTTTCAATCCCAATTTGTCTCAGACCTCTACTTCATCTTTAAACTAAATTATCGGGATAAAGAGGTCAGATTGCTGTGAAATGTTCTAAGACACTTTTTCTTGGTTTCTACATATCTTAATCTGGATTGATTGGTTTCCAGACTCTCTCTGTTCCACGCTTAGACTAGTTCTGTGCTGCGGTATTTGAGCTTGACCTAGTGGACTGTGGTGGCATTGTTCTGATGAAATGGTACTGATTAAACTTCAGTGAAAGAATATTTTCACGGAGGCGCAGCAGACCTCTTCTGCCTCGCTCGCTGCTCCCCTCAGCAGTGTATTTCAGTCAGTCTGCCTGTTCTATTCCCCACTCTGTCTCTGGTGAATCCTCTCACCCTCTCGCGTACCTGGCCTGTACCCTGGTTCTTATATGCATAAATGAATAAATCTTTAAAAAAAAAATATTTCACGGAGAAGGCTTGATAAAAATTTAGACATAATTAACCCATTTGCTTCTGGTGTTCAGTAAAGTTGGAAGCATAAGAAATTGTTGCTGTTGGAGAAAAATTAATTATTCGGTTCTCTTGATAGTCATATTGTTGGAGGGCAGCTAGGGTATTTGTAGGAGTTAAGTTACTATATAAAAATGTAAAGTATGTATTGAAGTTTCTTTCAATTTTCTTTTGTTTTTGTCCTTTCCGCAATCATGAGCACAGTTTAATCCATACATACACATAGTAAGTACTACATGAACTGTATTAAAGGACTCATTAAAAGAATAGCTCTTAAAAGGTAGGGGAATTTATTAGAAAACCTTGGACTTTCCTGAGTCTGGCAGTAATGGTGGTTTGTCTTACTGATGCAGCGGTCTGTTTGTTCATGAGATAAGAATGTGCTAGAGATGTGGATGGTTCCTTTGCTTTATATAAAGCAAGAAGAATGGATGCATTCTCACCTCTTAAAAGAGGAAGGGGAGGGAGTAGCCAAACTTAATTTTCATGCAGTCTATATTGAGGAATATTATGTCTAAAAAGCAATGTAGAGATTAAACATAGACATGAAGTTCTTTTGAAGAATTTAATGTGTTAATTGTGGAGACAAGGACCATTCCAAGAAAAGTTAGCTGGTAGTATGGAAATTACGGGTATAGGTATAGAACTGTATATGTGGATATGGGTATAGAACTGTCCTCATTGCCCTGGGAAGTCTTGGGACCTTCCTGGCAGAGGTGCCCCTGAGCTGGTCCTTGGAATAGTTAAGGGTGGGGGTGAGAAAGTGGAGCAGGTAAAGCCCTTTCGGGAAGGATTAGAGTAAGCCTGGAGTGTGGGATCTCAGGACACTGGGGAAAAACGTAGTTGTATTAGTAAGCCAGCTTTGTGTGTAATAAGATGTTTGCTTGGTAAGAGTGGGAGAGATGAGGTTTAAAAAACAGATCAAGGGAAAGAAAGACTGGAAGAGAAAGTGCGCTGAGGGAGATTCTTCAACAGCAACAAAGACCAGCTCCTCGAGAGAAAACCAGCTTCAGAGACCTAGTAAAGGAGGTGATTCATGCAAGTGGGATGTAAAATAGTTACAATCCAGTTGTGAAACTGTATCAGAAAGCTAAGTGATGCGTCCCTCTCTTTCTCCTAATGCTGAGCACCAAATTAGAAGCAACCCCCCCCCCCCCCAAGTACCAAGTGTTGGCAAGGATGTGGTATGAATAAACCCCTTCTTGGTGATCCTGGGAGTTTAAATGTTACGGCCATTTTAGAGAATGACAAGAAGTCAGGAATTAATAACAGGAATAATTTTAAAATAACAGGAATTAATTTTGCTTTTAAAAATTATCTCATGGAAACAGAATCTGATCAAATAAATTTATACACAGAAATGCTTGACATTTAGAATGATGAAAATTGCCCAGGTTTTTAGAAATTACAACATACCTATAGTCAACTTTTCTACATAGTCAAAAAGTATTTGCTGTAATGTAGGGGATTCTACGTGTGTGTTTATATCATCACAAAGTGCATAGACATTTGATTCTGCTCGTTTGAAGAGAGCCTGTATACATGTTTTAATGGATGAAAATGTCAGTGCTGCGAATATTACTCTAATTGATAGAATTATATGTAACTTGTTTTTCCACTTCTACAAGTAATATCACTTTTATTAATGATAAAAGTAACTTGTAGAGACAGTAAAGCTGCATTTAACTAAATTTAATGTAAGTGCCTGTGATGAAAGGTTCCAGGATGGGTCCCAGCCCTGACTGATGCTCCCTTAGCCACAGGGTGAGCGCTCAGCAATTTCAGGTGGTTAAAAAGGGCAGTTTTTGATTATTTCAATTCCAAGTTGTTTATCAAGATACTTGATTTTATCTGCCCATAAGCAAATGGGAAAATACTAACCGACAGGCATTACTTGATTTGTAAAGTCAAAGCGGAACTAACCCATACGTGGCTTGGCTTGGCTTTTTTGGCAGATTGGGTCCTAGTTCTTGGGTTAGTGTTGGCGGCGCGTAGCTGTCAAGTATTTGAAGGGCTGTTGACGAATACAATGGAGAATTTTAATATTCTTTCAGAAAATTTTTTGAAGTCCTCTTCTGCACAGTGTTTTCATGCTATACTTGGGGCAAGCCCAGATACTCTGAAGCGTGAGTTCTAGTATTTGGAAAGGGAGGCCCACTAAGAAAGATGTAAGAAGGACCCTGAAACCTCAGTCTAGTTACACCACAATGCCTGTGGGGAAGCAGTGGACGTGCACGCTTCCTGAGGTGATGGGGTGCAGGTGGTTCTCCACGGTAGAGTCATCTGTGAAAGGCCAGGTCTAAGCAGGAGGGGTGATTGGAAATAAACGTACTGCACAGGTCGGCTTTCGGGGAGGAAAGCAGAATGGCCTGAGCAGAAGGGGCGGGCAGAGGAAGGGGGGAAAGGATCCTGTGAGAGGTCCGGACAGCATGCGCGAGCAAGGGAGTCAGCTCAGCCTCTGTGGGTGGAGGGCGGAGCCTGGAAAAGGAGACCACTCGGGAGTGCGGCTGGGCAGGTGGCAGTGGGCAGTGGGGGAGGTGGCGCTGGGGAGGTAGGACGGCTCTGCTTTCAGGTTAGTGGTGAGGCGTTGAAATCTGGAACGTTGGGTTTTGATGGTGCGTGTCAGTGTCCCAGACGGGCCGGTGGCCAGCTGGCCAGCAGCCTAGGAAGACGTCCAGGGAGAGGAGATGCACTTAGCTCTGCTGGGTGGCCCACTCAGAGTACTGCAGCCTCAGCGCCGTGGGCGGGTCTGCGCCCTTTCCGTGCTGCTTTTCATGCCGCTCGTTCCCATGTTGCTCTTCCTCATCTCCGACCTGGCTTGATGGCAGCGGTTGCACATGTTACATACCAGAGTCCCTGACCTTCCCCAGCTTCTTCATGGTGCCTATAATGCGGTCACACTGGATGTTGCTCCCTGGGGAGGGGGGCCTCCTCTAATGTCTTGACCTTAGTGTTCCGTGGTGAAGAGCAGCGGGGGAAGAGACGCATTGGTGCAAGGTGCAAATGAACGGAAGAGTGACTAGAAACAGGTCACCAACTGTACCGATTTCTGACCGTCTAGATCCTGTCGGTAGAGGGCTGGACATGGGCGCAGCTTCTCACCGGTAGACTTGGCATGGGAGTGGGGAGGCACTTCAGAGGCTGCAGTGGGTGAGTGTTTTCACACCAAGGTTGGCGAGAATGAAGAGGACAGCTCACGTGATGACTGAGAACAAAAACTCAAAATTTGGAACGGGTTTCCTCGACCTTGGAGCAGTTGACCTTTGGGCTTAGATCCCCTTTGCCGGACCGGGCTGTGCGGCGCAGGCTGTGCGGCGGCTTCCCCGTCCTTGCCCTACTGCATGCCACAGGCCACCCCCTCGTGGTGACAGTCGTCATCGGCGTGGCGCTGGCCCGGGCTCCCCTGGGAGAGGGGCTGGTGGCACCCCTGAGCGAAGGGGGTCAGGAGGCGGTGGGGTTGGTTGTCTTTGGGAGACAGGAAGGAGAGACTTGCCGAGGGAGGCCCTCCGGAGACTGGCCTGCACTTTCTTGGCAAAGAGTGGAAATGGCCTAGGGAAGGCAGGAAGGAAGTTGGCGTTGCAGGCTCTGCGGGAGTTGGTCGTACTGGTGTCCATTTCATGGTCGGCCAGAGCAAACAGACGGTGTTGCTTCCTCTGCAGCAAGGGGGCTTTGGTTTGTGCTCGTGTGTTAATCATGCATTGTAGGCCAGCGGAGAATTTTCCTGTGGTTTCCGTACACTTTTCCATCTCTCCGTCTACACAGTAGACAGCATGCTCTAGAAAAGCTCCTGCCTCAGTTCATCACCTGTTAATCCGATACTCTGAAGGTGTAGACAGAAGTAGATACTAAGACAGAATTTCTGCTGCTGATAACTGACACCATCAGCGAAAATTTCACACCATTCCCCAAAATGTGCACGTGCTTTCCCTCCAGCTCGTCCATCTGTTTTGCATTCCCTGTCACTTTTGGTGGGACCCGAGGCAAGGGCATGTTGTCGTATATGCCCCTTGGCTGTAAAGTGTCACCTGGTTTCCAGAGTATTGACTAAGAGAAGACATGAAATTCATGGAAAGTTCTAATTGTACATTTAACTTTCAGGCTGAAGAACAGTTGAGAATTGTCGAGGAACAAAGAAAGATTCATGAGGAAAGGATGAAACTAGAACAAGAGCGACAACGTCAACAAAAAGAAGAACAAAAAATTATCCTGGGCAAGGGGAAGTCCAGACCAAAACTGTCCTTCTCATTAAAAACCCAGGATTAAGTTGCAAACTCTGAACTTTTTACAAAGAAAAATGGAAAAACTTTGTATGGTAGCTTCATGTTGAAGTGGTTTTTTTGTTGTTTTTGTTTTTTTAATTTGGAAAATCTGGAAAGTTAGCTCGTTCTAATGGGGGCTATGCTCTGCAATTCCTTCCCCCCCTCACTCCCTCTTAGTCAAACCCTTATCAGATCATCGCTGTCTGCTCCAAAGTGGTGCATTTCCACCCGCCGGACTCTGCAGGGGTGCGCGCTCTGGGGAAGAGCCAGTCACTCCGTAAACTGTGGATGGTCTGATAAGGTTTTTACTGCCCCGACTTCAGAGTTCCGCTCTGTTTACTACATCATAATGCTGGTTTTTCTGGCTTTTTGTTTTTTTATATATTTATAAAAAAAGAAAAAGTTGGTGATTGCATCGGAAGCCCCAGGGTGCGCCGGACCCCGCTCTGGCGCGTGTAGCCCAGCGCCCCGGGGTGCGGTCGCTCTCCGTGTTCCCGACACAGGTAAGGAAACAGTTGTCAGCTCTGATACCGAACACCTGCAGTTCAGTATTGTCTCTGTTAAGTTTGTTTTATTTCATTGACAAAATCAAACCAGCATTCCCCGATGTGTAAATAAATGATTTTGCTGAATAAAGTAAAGTCTTAAATTCATATGTTGAAGCAATTTTTTTTAAAGTTCTGTTAAGTCTTAAAGAGGGTGGTTTGCTCTTTGAAGTTCGACCATTTAGAACTATGCTATAGTTCCTCTCATTTATACTTTTAACATAGGATTTCTATGTACATTAAATATTCTCATGAATTAGTATTTAATGGCTATTTTTACAAGTATTTAATTTATGCTGATACAGCAATGATGACATCAGTATTACCTTTATGAAGGACTAAGCACCCAGGAAAAGATTCATATTCTCAAGCCTGTGCCTCTGTTATAAGATATATTTGTTACCACCACACTGGGCTTAAAGACTAGAAAAATGCCTATAACAATGTGTAGAGCCTTAGATTATTTTAAAAGTGGGCTGACCGTTAGGAAGAAGCGCAGCTCTGTCCTCTCCCAGAAGGCGAGTTGAGTCCTCCTCGGTGTAGGCTACCTGCATGTTTTGGGGGCCAGCACATTTTACTTCTTAAAAGGTTTTGTTTTGTTCTGCATGTGGCAGCTTGTGGACGACTTCTGTTTCATATATCGAGCCTGCCTCATTTATCCTTACAGACTGTGTGTGCGTCTACTGGTATTAAACCGTTGACTCAAGACAAGGGTGTGGACATAAAATGCTACCTGAGATGCAGCAGCGTGTGTCACCGTCAAAGTTGAGGGAATTATTCTCCAATATTTTTGAGACCATTTGATCAGTCTTTCATAAAAGTGAGAACACATTAACAAGATGACTAGACGGCGAGTTATTTGTGTGCATGCTGAGAAAATGCTGATGCTTTAGTTTGAGCCGTTCAAAGAGTAATTGTGGTAAGGAACAATAAACTCCGTTTAAATATTTTAAAGATAGAATTTTAAATAGGCATGAACTGTAGTGAGAACTGACGTTTAGCGAACATGATACCTAATAAACATTCACTTTACCTGCCTAAGGGGTGAATATAGGTTGCTTCCAAGTCCTTTTTTAATCTCTATAATACAGTTAGCTTTAATTATTTCCTGACTCTTATGACTCTTACACCTTTTTTTTTTTTTTTTTTTTTTAATGTAACCTGCTCCGTGCAGATCCATTGTTCCTAAGTTGTGTATTCACGTTTGGGGAAATGTTTATTTAAAAATTGTTTTGCTATACCAGTGTTCTGACCATTGTATCTAAGAGAGTAGCCTGGACCTAAAAATACTTCAAATCATCTTATGCGTGCCTTTTAATTTAAAAGAAAACTTTATTCCTGCCACATCTGGTGTGAAATCACAGTAAGTCACTTAGTGACATTGCAGTATCTGCTTGCTATTGGGGACTCGGCAGATCCTGAAACTGTTCCTGTGCCAGGCTACAGGACAGAGGATGTAAATTGTTAATAAAATACACCCAATCTTTTCTGTGCTGCAGTGTGTAGTAATTTGTTTTATTTTGTTTCCACTGCCTTTGTATACATAGTATAAAAGTTCAAATTCTCTCCTGATCTATTAGCAGTTTAGATGTTGCCTAATTTATTAAATATGCCTTTCTTCACAATTTGCTTTTTAGGTTATTCTTAATGCATTATAGAATTAATGACTGTTTATTTTTACTACAGTATTTAAAATGTAGTTATTGCCATTTCTATTGTGGAGTTTGCAGAATTATTGTATAAAGCAAACCTTTAAATTAGCTTGGTGTGAGGACTCTTTTTAATGCTTTGCAAAGAGGGGTGGGGTTTGTAGTTGAGCCTGACAGCTCAGTTCCCTGTGCATTTACAGCTTTTAGGCTCTTAGCGCTCACTCCCCGGCCGAGTCACTGAGCTGTGCTATGTCCTTAAATCTTTGTCACCACCTTCCCTGGAGAAAACCAGGTCTTTAATTTGTAGAGGTTTTGTTTCTCATTTTCAGCGGTAAAATAAGCAGTGTTCCTAACTGCCTCATTTTATATTGAAGATCTCCCATTGGTCACAAGTAAAATTTCTCTAAAAGCTGTTACTACGAGCTTGAGCTCCTGTATTCATTTGTACCCATTTTCTATCCCTTTGCCCCCAGAACCATCCCTCTGTTCTGTATTACTCGCCACGAGGCATTCCGAGCTGGCCGCCTCCCTGTGGGACTCGCGTGCCCGCCCCAGTGCCAGGCATTGGTGAGGAACGGCCAGGCAAGGGCCCCGGAAGCGGGCTCTGGGAAGGGCCCTCCGGGGGCGGGAGTCTGGAAGCCCAAGCGCGGCCCCGCGCTTGTGATACTCCGCATTGTCCCTAACACCGCTCTGGACTCCTCCACTGTCGCCTTTGTCCGCGGGACTCTTCCCGATTACTCTGCCGTAGAGTGTCCCGTGCACACGCAGGAGGCCACCCAGGAGCCTGAGCCCCAGCGGGTCTGCATTGGGGCCATTGTCCCTGGCACAGGTGGGCCCAGCACGTTCCTGCGCTGGGCACAGGCTGGACTCGAGGGCCCTTCCTGAGCTGCCAGTGTTGATCAGGGATGTAGGGGCAGTGACATTTTTCAAAGTTTCTTCCAAAGCCATTTAAAGAGTAAAAAAGTCTTTGGTAATTGACAGTGTCACTATTACTCCACCAAAGAGGGGTGAGTGTGATGTCCGTATGTTTTCTGTTTGGTCCAACCGCAAGGTGGCGCGGCCTGGCTGCGTAGGGCTGGAGGTTAGGCTCTACGTGCGTGTGAACCATGATCGTCTCCTAGTTTTGTAAGCTTTCACTTGGAGGGGAGGACGGGGAAGTGCACTATTGAAGCTGGGTTTTAGCTGAAATTCTGTCGGATTTCATTGTAGAGTGGGATAAAGAGGAAAAATTGGTTTCATGGGCCTGGAGGAGATGAGTCGTCTCCTTGGACTGTCACGCCCCTTGCGCGCTTACAGCAGAAGGTAACTCACGCAGCGCCCAGTAGTCTGTGGAGGGCTCTTAAGAGGTCGGGTGTTGGAACTAAAGAGCAACGGGCCAGGCCAGACCAGACAGCTGCCTGTTCCCTGCTGTTCCCTGCTGTTCCCTGCGCGTACACTCCCAAGTCCCACTTGCAGTGGTGCCAGGAGTTTGGCTCCTCTGCTAAACCCATTGGTTTGCAAATAAGGACATGAGGCTTCTTGCCAGGCGCCAAGCCTGAGGAAGCAAAGATTGAGGTGGAGGTTCAATGGCTGCTGAGGGAAATAACTTGGTCCATGAGGCACCGTTACACGGGCTGGAACTCTTCCTGCAGGAGTCACCACTAACCTTGCCAAGGGGAAGCTGGACCCAAGGGCCACTGTCACGATGCTTTTCCTACTGAGCTCCAGCCCCAGTGTGTGACCCTCAGGTGCCACGCAGACAGGCGGGCAGGGTGTGCGGCAAAGGCGGCTTTTAAGAAAGGGTTTCATTACACTCTTGTTTTGAAAGGTCATCTCCTCAAGATGAGCAACATGTCATTTGCATTAGTTGTAAAAGTCTGGTGACTGGTGTGAAATACAGCGTGCAAGCCAGAGACCAGGCGGGCAGGCTTCCCGCCGGGAGTGGGCGAGGTGGGCGCTCCCCGCCGGCACCTCGGCGCGAGTCAGCTCCTCTGCTGCCCGTCAGGATACAGGCAGGGCTTTGCACTCCCACGAAAGCGGCTTTTGAAGTAGGCGTTGGCGGGATACATAGGAAACAGCTTCTGGAGCCCAGAGCCTGCTGAGGAAGTCGGAGACCAGAGGCTGACGGTGAGTGCACGTCCTTGGGCGAAGCTGATCCTGCTATTTTTTAAACAAGCCGCCCGACGTTTGCCTCCGGCTACAGACTGACATTCTCAATTTCTCCAATTGACTCTAATTTCCAGGCATTTTTATTAGCTTGACTTTTGGAGACGTGTCCCTTTACCTAGAGACAGTTGAAGTAACTTCTGCTGAGAGAAAACCTCACGGGGCTGGGTATTGCTGGAGAAGTTAGAGATGGTTACAAACAACCGTGTTTCTCCAATTGTAAGATGCAGGCCCGAGTCGAACAGGCCCTCAGGGACGCGATTTGGTTCTTCTAAATGCCAGCTTAGGCTTGGACATGCCACCTAACTTGTTCTCTGGTCTGGCGTGGCACGGGCAGCCGTGGTTACAGGTGGCTTCGGGTGATGCTTTTAACTCTGGAAATTACTCATCGAAACAGCAGAGCCTTGGCACCCTGAGCTTGCTTCTCCCGAAGCCCTTCGGTCTCTAGGGCGAGACCCAATTTATGAACGTGAGTGGAGGCAGCTCCTCGCACTGAAGTCAGACGATAGCCTGGAAGATTTTATTTGTCGATCAAGTAGACACGAAAAGAAACAACGCCTGAGTGTGCGTTTACATTTTTCTCAAGGCAAAATGCTCTGGATGTGAGAATATCTGACTTGCTAAAAATGGAAGCCAGGGTTATTTTCAGACAATGCAAATGTCCATCTTTCCTCTGGCTTGCTGGGAGAGGATGTAGCAGTTCAGAGGTCACAACTCAGGCTTCACGACATGTTTGCTAAATAGGCAGCGCGGCGCGGGCAGTTTTAGTTCCTTCGCAAAATTGCACGCGCGTCCTGAAGGTTCTTCAGCTGGTTAAAACGACCCCCTCTCGCCGCTGAGAGGGGACACCGCCGAGCCCCTGCTGGGTTTCCAGGCCCCCTGGGAATCTGCCAGTTATTCCCCGTCAGTTTTTACCGTCTTGGAGCCTTAAAAAGGTAATTTCTTCATATTAAAGGTTTATTAGCAACTGGACTGCCTCCCCTCGACTGGAATAATGTGACCAGGGTTTTTAACCCCACTCGTGGAAACGCATCATATGATGTTCAGCGTTTCCAAAAACGAGCTCTCCGGGCCAGGACTCTTCAGCAGTTGCCACGTGCAGGAGACCCTCGTAAAGTCCAAGCGGGCTGCGCTGCCCTTTGCCTTTTCCTTTTCGGCGCGGCCGAGCGGAAGACTCGGCCCAGGAACGGCGTTTGCAGGAACGGGGTCGGGGCCGCGGCGCCGGGGAGGGAGGGAACCCCGGCGCCCACGTTGTTTCCGGAACGCGCGGGCGACGGCGTGTTGGTGCCCGGCTCAGCCGTCCACCCGTCCGGCCGCCGGCTCTGCGGGGCGCCCCGGCTGCAGGCCACTCGCAGAGACTCAGCCCGGGCTCGGGGCGCGAGCAGACCGGGGCCCCGCGCCGGGCGCAGAGGCGGGGTGCGCGCGCGGACGCCCGGCGGCCGCTGGTGGGCGCTGTGGGTCCGTGGAAGCGCCGGCTCCGGGCGGCTGGTGCCGGCCGCGCGGCGGAGCCCGGGGTGCGGAGCGCCCGCGCCTCCCCGCTGGGGCGCCGTTCGTCACCGTCACCCCTAAATTCCCGGCCACCTTGGGGAGGCGAGCGTGTGTCCCGCGGGTTAATCAGGAAGCAGGTCCCGCGGCGGGCGCGGGGGTGCTGGCTGCCCGGGGGCGCGGGGGCACTTCAGGGGGTGCGACCTGGGCGGGCCGGGGTGCGCCCCGACGTGCGGGGCCGCGCGCGGCCCCGGCGGGGTTCGGCGCCCCGCAGCCCTGCGGCTGAGATCTGCTGCCCCGAGCAGGGGCGCGACGCCCCGGGCGGCCCGGGGTGGGGGGCGGGCGGGGCGCGAGCGCGCCCTGGCCGAGGGGCCCTCGCGGGACGGGCACACCCGCGGGGCGCACGGCCCTCGGCTGCGGCCGAACTTTCGGCCCGGACGCGCTCCTCCGCTGGGGCCCGCGCCCCCGGCCGCCCCCCGCGCCCCCCGCGCCCCCCGCGCCCCCGCCCGGGCCGCCCGCCGCTCGGGGCGCCGTGCGCGCGCAGGCCCCGCTCCCCGCCGCCGGGCCGGGGCGGGGCTCACCTGTCAGCGGCGCCCCCGGCGGCGCCCAATGCGGCGCGGGGCGGCCGACGGACGCGCGGGGCGGCCAACCAGCGCGCGGGGCGGCGCGGCGGCCAATGGGCGGCGCGGCGCGGGGCGGGGCCCGGCGTTTATAGCGCCCTGACAGCGCGCCCGCCGCGCTGACTCCTGGCGGGGACGCGGCGCCGGCCGGAGAGGAGCCGCGCAGGCCGGTCCCGGCGCCCTCCCCGCACACAAAGGCCCGCGCGCCCGGCGCCGCGCCGGGGACCGACCCTCCGCCTGCGCCGCCGGCCGGAGCCGCGAGGACCGAGGAGGCCCCGCGCCCGGAGGCGCCCCCGCCGCCCGCGCCCGCGCCCCGCGCCCCGGGACATGGAAGCTCGCCGCCGCGGCCCCCGCGCGCTCGGGCCGCCGCCCGCGCCCCTGGATCTATAGTGCGAGGCGGCCCCGCTCGGGGCGCTGCGCCCCCGCCCGCGCCTCCGCCTCGCCGCCCGGCGCCCCGGCGCGCGCCCTCCCCGCCGCCCCGCGCCCGGCACCCTGGAGCCTCACGGGAGCCGGCCGTCCACGCTGCGTCCGGCGGGGCGCCCGGGAGCCCCGAGCCCGCCTCGCCGCCGCGCCCCGCGCCCGCGCGCCCGCCCCGCGCCCTGAGGACCCCGAGGGGAGCCCCTGCGACCCGGCTGGAGCCGCGCGGCGCGCCCGGAGTGTCGGCGCGCTTCCCCTGGCCGCCCGCGGGATCGGGGCCCCCGGCCTGCGCCCCGAGCCTCCGCCGCCCGGTGCGCGGAGCGGGGAGAGCTTGGCCATGGCTGCGAGGAGAGACTCGGTGTGGAAGTACTGCTGGGGACTTTTGGTGGTTTTGTGCAGAACTGCGATCTCCAGGTCGATAGTTTTAGAGCCCATCTACTGGAATTCCTCGAACTCCAAGTAAGTGGCGGCCGCGATCCCCCCGCCCCGCCCCGGGGCCGCGCGGGCCGGCCGGGAGGCAGGGTCGGGCCGCGGGGCCTCGCGGCGGCTGCGTCTGCGCCCGGCCTCCCGCCCCGGCCCGGCCCGCCGCGCTGCTCCGGGTGGGCTCGCCCGCTCCTCCGCGGCCGCGCGCCGGCCCCCGCCTTCCCCGGGCGCTGCCCGCGCGGACAAGCCCCGGGGCGCGCGGGCGTCGCGAGTGGGAAGGTGTCGGGGGCCCATCCCGGACCCCGCGCCTCTTCGAGGACGGCGCACTTGGCCGCGAGCGGGGCCGGCGGCGCCCCGCGCATGGGGAGGCCCCCGGGTGCTGCGCCCCGGACGAGCCGCGGAGCGGGGCGCGCGCCGGGAGAAGGGGCCGGGTTCCCCGGGTTCCCCGGGCCGCCACGGCGCCCCAGACCCGCGCTCCCCTCGCGGGGCCGCCGGCCCGGGGAACGCAGACGGCCGGCCGGGCTGCTCCGGGGGCGCCCCGCTCGCGCGCCCCTCCCGTCCTGTCCACGCCCGGGGCCGGAACCCTGCGCCGGCCCGTCGCGGCGCCACAACAAGGACCTTTCTGCGAAAGCCCGAGCCCAGCCTGCGCGCCGCTAACGCAGCCCTGCGCGGGGGGCCCGGGCGACCTGCGAGCGGGCCCCGCGCACCGAGCGGCGCCTCCCCGGGGCGCCACCGGCCTCGGCGCTGCCTGGCGCCCCGGCCCCGGACGCGGCTTGAGTCCCCGCCAAGTGCTTTCCAGAACCCTGGGGTTGTGGCCTCGGGGCGCCGGGGGCAGAGAGGGGACACGCTCGTGGGCGTGGAGAGCGAGGAGAGCGGCGCAGCCGCGAGCCGGGCGCGGACTGGGGGTCCGGGGACGGGGGAGGGGTGGCTTGAGAACCCCCTCTCGGGTGAAGAACCGCGTCCCTCTTCCGAGGTGGCGCCTGGCGACGCCCCGACGTGCCAGCCGAGGGCTCCCGGGTGCGGGCGCCCGGGGCGCCGGCTGCGGATCACACGACCCCGGGTTCTGGCCCGGGGCTCCCCGGCGCGCCCGAGGTAAAAGTTACTTGGAGCGGCCCCCCTCGCTGCAGCCGGATGCGGGGTGCCCCCGCCCCCGAGATAGCGCGTTTCGGCCGAGGGGGGAGCCGGGTGGCTTCTCCGCGCCGACGCCCGCCGAGGCCGCAGCGGGAGCCGCCGGGCCGGGCCGGGCCGGGACCGCTGGCCGCGCCGGTGCCCGCGGCCTCCAGGGGTCACTGTTCCCCGCCGGCCGCCCCTCCCCCGCGGCGGCCCCGCTTCGCACCTCCCGACGCGCGCCGCTCGGGCCGGAGATCCCCCGGGAGGGAAGGTTTATATTTAAATCTCGTTTGCAGAGACTCCGATTAACCCCTGCAGCGTCGCGCTCGGCCCGGTTCTTACCCGCCGGCCCGGGCGCACCCGCGAGGGGCTTAGAAACAACCGCTGGGGAGGAGAAGACGGAGCCGCGGGGTTTCAGGCTCAGGCGGACGCGCAGAGCGGCCTCCGGGCAGGGTGGCCGCCGCCCGCAGGTGCCGGAGGAGCGCGGGGTGCTCTGCCGGGCGAGCCAGGCCTCCCGCGGCCTGCGGGCCCCACTCTCGGGCTCACACGAGGGCCCTGCCTGGAGAGCGGGCGCGCTGGTCCCTGGGCAGGGCCTGGCGAGGGAGTGGGGCGCTGCCCGCTGGCCGGGGGGTCAGACGTGTTTTCTTCCCGGTGGAGTAACGCGAAAGGGCCTTTTCTAAGTTTGAGAATGAATAAAAAAAGGCCCCGTGCCCAGGAGGGGCACAGCCCATCTTTCCAGGGCAAAGTTTCCGGGGGTAGATGTGGTCTGGCAGGAAGGTGGCCCAGGCCCTGGGGTTTCCCCTGGGGTCCTGGGGTGGTGGCCCGCCTGGTGGGCGCCAGCTCTCTACTGGGTTTCATTCCCAGGTCAGCTTGCAAGCAGGTGGTGGGTGGCGGGGGCGCTGCAGCTGCTTGCATGCAGGGGCCAGCACGCCCTTTGTCCACTGCGGGTCTCTCAGGGCCCGAGGCTCTGCCGCTCCTGCCCCTGGGAGTTTCCACCATGAGGGGAAGTGGATCCACTGAGGCGCAGGCCTGGGCAGCAGCCTGTGGGACCTGCTCGCGGGGCCTGGGGTCCAGTCCCCTGGAGTTGGGTGTCTCTTGCCCCTGTAGGTTGTTCAGCTTCTCTTTTAAACCAGAGAGAGGAGCTGAGTGGAGCTTCCGTTTCTAATTAGCATTTCAGTCGAATGCTTTTTGCCCAAGCGTGACGTTTTGCCAAAATAAAATGGTTGGGTCTTTTTTTTTTTTTTTTTTGAGCATGAATTTCACTTGCGAGGGAGCAGGCCTGTGTCGCTCGGGTGTGCAGGGATGAATTCCACTGACTTGGCTGCAAATTTCAGGGGCGCGCTGCTGTCTCGGGGCTGGAGGTGCAAGTCCCTCCCTGGCAACATGCTCAGCCTGGTGAGCGGAGCCCGTGCCGCGCACGTCACCTCTCCTCGTTGAGAACGAATTCCTGATATTGATTGACTGGGTACAAAAGAATGGCTGGATAATATCCAGATAGCCTCCAGTGCTCAGCTCCACCACAGTCGGACTCTGAATAAATACGGACCTGTCAGAGATTGATAAAATAAACTACAATGGATAGTGCTGTTTAAACAGCCCATTCAATACCATATATAAGCCGGCCTGCCTGCCATTGTGTCTGAAATTCTTATTTTTGTAGGTAAACAAATGCACATTCAACGCTGATTGAATAGGCCCTTGAACTATGCTCCCAGTTTGCCTTTGGGTTAATCTTGTCGGTTTTAATATAGAGAGAAAAAAGCCCCGAGCACCAGGGGTGGAACTGTTCGCTCTTTCACATCCACATTCCTCACGTTTTGTCAGGATGATAAACTGTAGGTAATGGACTGTCCTCGATCCGCAGGACAACTGAGCCGGGAGACACAAAGACGGGGCTTAGGCAAGCGCTCGCCCCACGCTCCCAGCGTTCCTTTCAGACCAGAAGAGAATTTATTTGGGAATCGTGTGTCTGGGGCTGCACTTTTTAACCCCAGCCATTACGGCTCGGAGCCTCAGAAACGGGAGCTGGAGCTTAAGATGATTTGTGAAGCCCTGGGTTCTAAATCTGTCACCAAGCTGGCTGGTGACACTTGAGCTGCCCAAGCAAAGAAATGCAAATGACATCCCTGCAGGCCCCTGCTACCCTCCGGGGGCCCAGGTGAGGGGCTCCCCAGCCCAGCTCAAGCCCCCACCGCACTGGCTCCTTCCTCCGGAGTCAGCGAAGAACCATTCATCTGTGTCCCTGAAGGGCAGTAAACCCTCTTCTCTATAACTTCCTGGGGTAACTCCTGGGGTGGGGGCCCCGGGGGATAATTTCCTTCAGAGGGAGAGTGCCACGGGCACGAAGCAGCCAAGTCCTGGCTACCTGCCCTGCCAAGGCGCCCAGGCTGCCGGGAGCTGCCCGGGTCCCTGGACTCCTTACCTGTGGGGGCTTCCCCAGGAGCCTGGCAGCACAGGGAGGGGTCCAGATCCCCAAGGCCGCCCAGCCCTGGGGCTGCAGGAGAAAGAAAGGGGGGGGGGTGCACCACCTCCCCAACGGGTTTCAGAAGGCCATTTCTTTCACGGTGCAAACTTTATTCTGAAACTGCTCCATGGCACATTAGACAAAGAGAAGCACTCCACGGAGAGAAACAGTGACTCCGAAGGCGCAGGAGCGCCGTGGCCTGCTCTCTGGCAGCCTCTGCGGGCCCAGAAGAGGCAGTTTTCAGGTCACTTACCATATATCTACATAGATTTGCTTAGGAGCTCCCCCTTTGTCTGGCGGAGGGGAGCCATAAATAGGAGTGGTCAACTGTTTAAAATATTTTGATTAAAATATGCAGAATCCATAGAACTCTAAGCCGCTCCTCAGGAATTAGCTCTTTCAGGGACGCCCCCCTCCCCCGCCTCCTTTAAAGGCGGGCTCCGCGGCTGTGGAGAGGACCCGGGAGAAGCAGAGAAGGAGGGGACAGGACGATGTTCCGAGAGCTCGGAAAAGCTCCTGTTGCTTCATTGTCTCTCTAAAGCCAGAGAATACAAAGACGCGGGGCCAGGCACCCCTCCTCCCGGCCCGGGGAATGCTCGCCCCCGACACAGCCCCCCTGTTTAACTTGTTTAATTCTCATTTTAAATTCAGGACTATACCAGCCGTGTGAACTCTGAAGATTTTCTTTAGTAATCCATTTTGTCGTCCCGAATCAAAAACAAAGTGGAAGGGTCTGACACAATTTGCTTTTATTTTTAGGCAAATCAACCCTGGTCATAGTTAATAAGGGGATTACAACCCAGACTGGGTCTTTACAGATGTAATGTAAATCAAGGGCAGCGTCTAAAGAAACTGATCTCTTTTGATTGAAGTCTGGTAAAAAGGCATAGAGAAGCTAGCAGCAGTAATCTGATTGTACGCAATAAAACCACCATTTTCTGTCTTTCAGATAAAAATAATGTGGTAAATCCATGCAGCTCATGAGATGTAAAGGCAGATAAAGAGGGACGCCATGGCAACATATAGATTAGCTTGATGTTGGAAATGACACGTCTCTGAAAGGGGTACAGGCACGCAGGCCCTTGCTCCAGGCTGTCGCTATTATGTGCAACCCCACAGCCTTGGAAGCTGGGATTAGAAGCTCTGAAAGCCCTACTTGTGGCCCGGGCCCGTGAAAGCGGGGAAGAAAGGCTGCTCAGTTCTTGCTCATTGGTGACGGATAATATCGCCAAGGTGGATACCATTGAGCGCCCTTTTTATCGATGGCGATGGAGGCTGATGAAAACCTCAGATCCCCGCAGTCCTTAGGGCCCGCGCGCTTTCCCTTTTTAACTCCTGGCCTACCGGCCGCCCCCTCCTGGAGGATTAACTGCCCGGCCCAGGCCTTCATCTTTTTGGGCCCAGGCCTCGTGCTGGGAGGGAGCAGAGACCAGCGGGGTCGGTGGGGCTGGGTTTACTGAAA